AAAAGAATAACACCAAGGACCCTAGAACTCAACTTGTCTACCCAGCAGGAAGCCGGTGTATCATTAACCCCCCTCACCACTACAACCCAGAGAACAACAACAACAAACATGGCTGACTTCCCCTCCAACTCCACTCCCTTCAAAGGATTCACCCATGATAACTCAGGTATGATTATTCCTGACAGTATCAGGGACTACATCATTGCTTTAGAAAACGAAATCAAAGATATTAAAGCAACCCTTGTCCGACGAGAATCCAAGATAACCAACCTCAAGAACAAGACCCAAAGCCATGAAGAGAAGATTACATCAGGAAGTGCTGACACAGAAAATACTCTGAAATCAGCTATAGCCAGTCACACTGAGCAAATAACAACCCTAAATATGAAGGTTGAAGAATCAGTCAAGGACTGGAATCAGAACATGCACACTCGACTGAATGAATACCTTGATTTCCAAGATGATAAAACCGAACAAGATAAGTTGTCTGACGTAGTTATAATAAACAGTCCACACATTCCTAGTGAAATAACCCAAGAACAGTGCAAAGAAACTGCTATCAGGATAATACAGGACCACGTAAAAGTTATCTTGCAAAACAATGAAATCAAAGAAACACTTTTGCTAGGAAAACAAGGTAGTAAACACAGTACAGTGGAACCTCAAAAATCGAACTGCTCCCAACACAACCAATTATGTAAATGTATTTTTGTAAGTGCTTTTATAAGTGTATTTTTGAGGGTCTGAAATGGACTAATCTAATTTACATTATTCCTGATGGGAATAAATTCATTCGGTAAAGGCACTCGAACAGCCTTCTGGACCGAATAAAGTTCGATATTTGAGGTTCCACTGTATTATGATCAGACTTCATTCATATGATAAAAGAAAGGACTTAAATCAGCAATTACAATGAAAAATGGAGTGTTCATCAACGAGTGTCTAACGAAAAAACGTCAAAACCTTCTGTTCAGGTTGAGAAAACTTAAACAGGAAAACAAAATACATCAGTGTTTCACTCGAGATGGGAAAATACTAGTTAGAAAAACTTCAACAGGACAACAATACACCATCTCAAATGAACTTGATTTCTCTACCTTCCTTAGAAAAGCTGACATTTCTGTAACAGATTAGATAAGTGTCCTTAACACATATATACGTGTGGTGTATATAGTGTACGTTACTATTACATTATTGTGCATTATTATTTTTTTTTCTTTTACTAGCTAATACCAGCTACCTCAAATACTTTTTTACTTTTTAATTGCTATTAATTGCTCATAATTTTGTCTTGCAAGTCAAATCTTACTCCAAATTAATGTTATTTTGGTTGCTACCCGTCCCTTTAATTCTGTTTACCACTACTTTTTTTTTAGTCCCTTTTATATTGTGTGTGCAATTTGTGTATATCCCAATTACATTATTGTGTGAGTCCCAAACTATTTTTGCTAGCTAGTACCAACTACCTATATTTCTTACTTTTTATAGTGCAATTAATTTGCTCAACTTATTGACATTACAAATCAGATCTTACTCCCAAATCAATATTATATCATAGTGACTATCTGTCCATTGAACTTTGTTTACCATTACTTAATTTAGTCCCCTACATATTTTCTCCTTTATTTTAGCTTATATAACTACCCTTTGTTCATATATTCACAATTGTTAAAAAATCCAAAGGTGCTATTCTCAGGTGCTAAAGTGTAATAAGTTCACTATTTTGCCATTATATTATATCATAGTGAATATCTGTCCATTGAACTTTGTTTACCATTACTTAATTTAGTCTCTTATATATTTTCTCCTTTATTTTAGCTTTATATAACTACCTTAGTTCTTATATTCACAATTGTTAAAATAATCAAAGTGCTATTCTCAGGGGCTAAAGTGTAATCAAACTAACAAAATCAGATGAACCCCTACTCACTCCAACCGAAACAGCAAACAGACTTAATGTTTTCTTCTCCACCATAGGAAAAAATCTAGCAAACAAAATACCAAGCACAAAGGCCCGTCCATCAGACTACCTCATAGGAACCTACCCAAATACGCTATTCCTAGCTCCAACCAACCCCACCAAAGTTATGCTCGTCATAAACACCCTTAAAAACAAGGCAGGAGACATAAACAACTTGCCTGCTTTTATGTACAAAAAAGCTTCTCAAGTATTGTCACCAATTATTGCAACGCTCTTTAACAAATCCATTGAATCGTCTACCTTCCCAACAATCCTCAAAATAGCGAGGGTCACTCCGATCCATAAAGGAGGTGACCAAGCAGACTTGAATAACTATAGACCAATATCTAACTTACCACTGCTCTCTAAAATCTTTGAAAAATTAATTCATAGACGGATCTATTCCTACCTCGTTTCACACAACATATTAAACCCTTGTCAGTTTGGATTCAGGAATAATAAAAGCACAAATGATGCTATCATACACATGCTAGAACTAATATATACTGCACTTGAAAAGAAAGAAGTCCGTGGGCATTTTCATTGATTACGTAAAGCTTTCGATACAGTCGACCATGAACTACTGAAACTCCAAATTAATGCACTATGGTATCAGAAGCCACTCCCTCAACTACTAAAGTCATACCTTAGTAACAGAACTCAATATGTGTATGAAAATGATGCAAACTCTTCCCCCACCCTTTTCACGTAGGGTCCCACAAGGAAGCATCCTTGGACCACCCCTCTTTCTCATCTACATCAGTGATCTACTAAATGCATCAAGCTACTCAAACCATATTTTTTTTGCAGATGACACTACATATGTCTTTTCCCACCAAACACAGTCATACTAGCAAACACAGTCAATGCTGAATTACAGAAAATATCTGCCTGGATGATGACTAACAAACTTACCCTGAACACTGATAAAACCTATTTCATTCAGTTTGGAAACAAAGCTGCAAATGATCCAATTAACATAATGCTAAATGGATCATCAGTCACAAGACTCACAGAGGTAAAATTCCTAGGTATCCACCTTGACAGTAGCCATAAGTTCCAGACACACATACAACAAATCACCAAGAAAATCTCTAAGACTGGAAGCATACTATCAAAGATAAGGTACTACGTTCCACAATCAGCTCTCCTGGCACTGTACCATTCACTCATATACCCTTATCTTAACATATGGAATTTTTTGCATGGGATCAACAACATCCAGTCACCTAAAACCCCTAATAACCCGCAAAAGGCAGCAGTAAGAATGATAACAAATTCCCACTCCCACCAGCATACTCCACCAATTTTCAAAAGTCTGAATCTGCTCACCTTAATTAAGAACATCCATACTTATTCATGTGCCTATTACATACACAGAACAATACATGCAAATATAAACCTCCCACTCAAACTTCTCCTCACCAACCTAAACAGGACATATGACCACAACCAAGACACAGATCTCTTTTTGATATACCTCGTGTCCATATCACACTGTGTAAAAACTCTATGCACATAAAGGGCCCCAAAATATGGAATTCATTACCAGAAGATATTAAAGTAACCCAGTCTGAAAATCAATTTAAGACTCTTCTCAAAAGCCACTTAATCAACCTAGACTAAATGCTAAATACTCAGTACACATTTACTCACCTATGTACTCCCACATCATAACTGAAACAATCACTTTGAACCTTTTATCCATTGTTGACAGGAATATAATTGAATCATTGTTTTCACAAAAAGCATTTTCAAATATAAATATATCTTTGTATTATACAAATTTTGATTCATTTTTAATTAATATTCTACTGTACAACTATAAAATAATTACTGTCCTACTGTACAACTATGATATAATCCTTAGTGTTAAGTAGTCTGTAAGCCAATAATGTTAAGTTGGCCCATAATGACTAGGCATAATAGAGGCTCTCTTTGCATTGCAACCCACTATTGTAAATACAAAATCTCAATGTACTGTTTGCAAAGACATAAAATAAATAAATAAATCAATAAAGGTAAATCAGGCACCCAGACCATACTGGGGCTAGAAGAGAGAGAGTTGTTAGGTAGGGAATAGATATATGTAATGTACTGTATTAATTCATGACAAAGGTAGGATTCCAACCCATGGCAAACCAGTCGTGAAATTAACAGGCCCGTGTCCTAGCCACTAGACCATGCAGGCTTAGCAGATTCATCGTATTAGGGATATTCTGATACACAATAGAGGTTTTGTTAAGTGAAAGGACTCAAGTAGTGGAACTAAAGTGACACTTTATTGTGGCAACATTTCGCTGTCCAGGAGCTTGGTCAAGCAAAGCTCCTGGAGAGCAAAACGTTGCCACAATAAAGTGTCACATTAATTGCACTTATGTTCTTTTACTTAACATGTTTTCAGTAATTTTTCCAATGTTATTACAATAGAGGTTAGCGGGGGCATCACTGTGACTGCAAGTGCAAGTTTTTCATGGATGAATCTTATTGATAAGACCTTTTCAAGGCCACTTATTCTTACTCCTATGCAATTCCTCCTAGCCATTAGCTTTCATAATTAACAGGAAGGAAAAATTGTTGTAAGATACCAGCTGTTTTCTGTGTACTGTATAAGTTTTGCAGATGGCAGAAGCTGTCATCCTTGAAATACTTTCCTCTTCTCTTGACACTTAGGCTTCTAATTACTGAAATAGACTCACTAACGTTTCTAAATACTGAAATATGTACTTAGATTGTGTCTAGGATGGTGTTTTGCATACATCTCTTTTCTTCTACATTATGTAACATTACTTCAATTGAGTAAAAAATTGAAGGGAGGATCTAGATATTTTTAAAGTTATTTTGTGAAAGATTAGGATGTATCCAGTCTATATTTTTCATGACCATTTATTAAAATATTCAAGAAATATATGTATATTACTGAATTTAAATGTCATAAATCTTTTATAATAAAATAATTGTTTTTTCAGACAGGTTGCATTAATTTGTGAACATTTTCTGTAATTGCAATGTATGTTTTAACTTCTTGTAACTGTTTCAGCGAGTCAAGCCCGAGACCTGCTATCAAGGATGTTAGTAATTGACCCAGAACGGAGGATAAGTGTAGATGAAGCACTGATGCATCCCTATATTAATGTTTGGTATGATGAAGCTGAAGTTAATGCTGTAAGTATTATAACATTGTTGTACTTACTCTCTCTCTCTTCCATAATGGGGAATATAAAGCTTTAAATCAGTATAATGATTGGACTTCACTAATCTGCCAGTCAGTAATCCGGTTCCATCAGTAATCTGGCACTAGTTTCAGCTAGCATAATTTCAAATTTCCAGGGTTGCCTCACCAACCAGTCACTAGTGTTTAGAGGCATTACTTGCTGTGTAAATCATTCCAATTTCTTTTTCTCCATTTATTGTTATAACCTGCTCACTTTTAGCCCTAGCCATGGTTCCAATGAATAAAAGAAATGTTTCTCGTTGTGTAAAGCACATACACCGTACATTATCTATGAAAGATAAGGTGGCTTTGAAGCCATGAGCTCAGCTCACTCAGATAAATTGTGACTGGTAAATTTGGGCCTACATATGAGAGAATAGGTCTGTGTGGTAAGTGTGCATTATATAAAAAATCCTGCAGCATGCAGTGCATAATGAGAAAAAATGGAGACTGTGCTTTTGACGTAAAACAGCGAATTTGTGATGTATTTTTGAATGGTTTGTATGGTTATATTCTCGTTTTTTTTGGTCTCATTTGATAGAATTGAAGATATATTACAGAAATAGATATAATTTTGATATGTTTCATGCCAGAAATTACCTTAAAATTGAGCTCAACATAGTAGAAATGTTCGATTTTTACTGATGTTGAAGAGAAAACAAAAGATGTCAACGTCCAATACGTGTTCAACTGCCGGTCTGATATGTAGCCACAAGTGTGTTGACATTATTTATACAGCTATTACAATAATGCAGTAGTCTGCATAACAGTAAATCTTCTATTTTTTGTATGAATAAAAATTCAAAATGGAAAGGAAGCGTAATATAAGAGGGGCCTGGAGACGTGACTAATAAACAGAGAAAAATTTTATTTTAGTGCCAAAAATGTCTGCATTGTTTATTCTGGACCCTGTTTTGAAATTGGCATCTCTTGAAATTTGCCAAATTACCGATTCCTGACCACTTTATTGGGTTGTTGAAATAGGTAAATGGGTGGTTTCTTGTACTCATTCTGCAGAATATACTTGCAAAATAGCTATGAGTTTGGTAGACTGGAGCAAAGAAATGGGGTAAAAAGTAGGGCCTAAAGTGGGTGAAATCACTGATGTGTAAATATTGCCATTGTGTCAAGTGTACATTGGAACCCCAGTTAATGACATTAATCCGTTCCAGAGAGCTTGTCTTTAACCGATTCTGTCGTTATCCGAATTTGCTTTCCCCATAAGAAATCATGGAAATCCAATTAATCCATTCCAGACACCCAAAAGTATTAAACAAAATAATTTTTTTACATGAAATATACATTTCCCTACACAGAAAACAATGAGACATGCAGAATAAACAATACTAAAATGACACTTACCTTTATTGAAGACTTATTGATGAGTGATGAAACAGGAGGGGAGAGGATGGAGGTGTATTAGTGTTTGGAAGGAGAATCCCCTTCCATAAGGACTTTAGGTACCAAGTCCTTTTCTGGGGTTACCTCCCTTCTTTGTTTTTTAATGCCACTAGTACCAGCTTGAGAGTCACTGGACCCCTGTCGCACCAAAAATCTTTCCAGAGAGCTCTGTTTCTGGTGTGTCTTTAAGATTTCCCTAAAATGGGACACAGCATTGTCATTGTAGGTGTTGCCAGCACGGCTTGCAGCAGCTGTGTCAGGGGTGATGTTCATCCATAAATGCTTGCACCTTTGTCCACATTGTACAAATGTCCTTAACCCTTTGAGGGTTTTCGTCGTACTAGTACGTCTTACGCGTAGGGGTTTTTGACGTACTAGTACTCATAAATTCTAGCGGCCTCAAATCTAGTGGGAGAAAGCTGGTAGGCCTTTATATGAAAGAATGGGTCTATGTGGTCAGTGTGCACAGTCTAAAAAAAATCCTGCAGCACACAGTGCATAATGAGAAAAAAAAAACTTTGACCATTTTTTTTTAATAAATCAGCGACTTTGCAGTGTATTTTCGTATGGTATTTATTGTTGTATTCTAGTTTTCTTGGTCTCATTTTATAGAATGGAAGACATATTACTGAAATTGAGATGATTTTGACTGGTTTTACAATGAAAGGTGCCTTGAAATTGAGCTCAAAGTAGCAGAAATGTTCGATTTTTACCAAATTTCAAAAGTAAACAAATCGTGCCAAGCGTGCAATACACGTCAACTGGTGAGTCTAATATTCTTTCACAAGTGCACCAATAATATTTATACCATTTTTTACACTAATGCAGTAGTCTGCATAACAGTAAATCTTATATTTTTTGTGAGAATAAAAATTCAAAGTGGAAAGCAAAAGAATATAAGAGGGGCCTTGAGACGTGACTAATGACTAGAGGAAATGTCATTTTAGTGCCAGGAATGTCTTTCTTGTTTATTCTGGACCCTATTCCGAAATTGGCATCTTTTGAAATTTGTGTGAAATTGGCAAAATTGCTAAATTCTGACCACTGTACTGGATAGTTGAATTTATAAATGGATGGTTTCTTGCACCCATTCGATAGAAAAAATGGAGTTCTAGTGAATTATTCATGTTTTTTGTCGACTAGTACAGTGAAATTGGCCGAAAATGGGGCTCAAAGTGGGCAAAATCGCCGATGCGTAAACATCGCCGAGACCGCTAACTTTGCGAGAGCATAATTCCGTAAGTTTTCTATCAAATTTCAAACTTTTGGTGTCGTTATGATCGGGAAAAGATTCTCTATCTTTTCATAAGAGAAAATAATTTTTTTTTTTTTTAAATTTGGCCGACCCTGAGAACGAGTTTTGGAGAGGGCCTGTCGACCCTCAAAGGGTTAATCATTGATGAAGGCAACTTCCTCCATCTCTCTTCCCCCTCCTCTGAAGGAAATTCCTGAGCTGTGGTCTGTTGCTGTTGCACCTCAAGCTCTTGCAGATCTGTAGTGGTTAGCTCTTCGTCATCCTCCACCAACTCTTCCACATCCTCACCACTAACCTCCAACTCCATGGACTTCCCCAATGCCACAATAGATTCCACAACTGGCATAGGCTCCTCAGGATTACCCCCAAACCTTCAAAATCTCTCTATTGTACACATTCTGGCCACAATTTTCTCCAAGCAGAGTTCAAAGTCCTGCAATTCACTCCCTCCCAAGCCTTATCTATAAGGTTTATGCAAGTGAGGATACTGAAGTGATCTTTCCAGAACTCTCTTAGGGTCAGATCAGTGTCTGAGGTCACTTCAAAGCATTTTTGAAACATTACTTAGGTGTGCAGTTTTTTGAAATTTGAGATGACCTGCTGGTCCATGGGCTGGAGGAGAGGAGTGGTGTTAGGAGGCAAAAACTTGACTTTTATGAAACTAACTCCCCCACAATTTGCTCTTCCAAGTCTAGAGGATGAGCAGGAGCATTGTCCATTAACAGGAGGCACTGAAGTGGCAAATTATTTTTCAGGAGGTATTTTTTCACACTGGGGCCAAACACGTCATTGAGGAAAATATCCCTAGTGGCCCATGTCTTACTGTTTGCCCTCCGCATCACACACAATTTAGGCTTGACGACACTGTTTTTCTTGAACACTTTGGGAGTTTCAGAGTGATACACGAGTAAAGGCTTCACTTTGCAATCCCCACTAGCATTACTACAGAACATGAGAGTTAGCCTGTCTTTCATAGGCTTGTGTCCTGGGAGTGCCTTTTCCTCCTGAGTAATGTAGGTCCTGTTTGGCAGTTTCTTCCAAAACAGGCCTGTTTCATCACAATTGAACACATGTTGGGGTTTTAATCCTTCAGCCTCTATGTACTCCTTAAAGTCCTGCATATATTTTTCAGCCGCTTTTTTGTCAGAACTGGCAGTCTCACCATGCCTTATCACACTGTGCATGCCACTACGATTCTTAAATCTCTCAAACCAACCTTTGCTGACCTTAAATTCTCCAATATGAGCACTAGTTCCAGCCTTGCCTTTTCACATGTATGTGAAAAGGCAAGACATTAATCCATTCCAGAGAGCTTGCCTTTAACCGATTTTTGCCATTAGCCGAATTAATTTTCCCCATAAGAAATAATGGAAATCCAATTAATCCATTTCAGACACCCAAAAATATTAACAGTAAATATTTTTTTTAAAGATTAAATATAGATATACATACAGAAAACAATGACAAATAAATATAAAGCACTAATAAAATGGATAAATGAACATTTAACATCACACTTACCTTTATTGACTCTTGTTGGTGTATGGAAAACAGGTAGGAGACGAGAGGGAGGCGAGTTTATTATGCTTCAATGTGTCACTAATATCATCTCTATGGCTTATTTATCTATCACAATTCATCTAATATGACATAATAAACAATATTAATAACATAGAAACATGATATATACTCTAGAATGAATAAAATATATCATAATGTATGAGAGGAGTAAGTGGTGGTGGTGTTGTAGTTGGGATAATAAGAACCACTGAGAGAAGCCGTACATAGTGGTGGTGGTGGAGGCGGCGGCAGCAGAAGTCACCAACACTGTTCACACTTAAACAATGTATGTAATTTATAAATAAGAAATATTTACATTTTATTAAAGGTAGTAGGTTGGTAGACAGCAACCATCCAGGGAGGTACTACCGCCCTACCAAGTGAGTGTAAAACGAAAGCCTGTAATTGTTTTACATGATGGTAGGATTGCTGGTGTCCATTTTTCTGTCTCATAAAGATGCAAGGTTTCAAGTATGTCTTGCTGCTACTACTTACACTTAGGTCATGCTACACATACATGTACAATCATATATATACACACCCCTCTGGGTTTTCTTCTATTTTCTTACTAGTTCTTGTTCTTGTTTATTTCCTCTTACCTCCATGGGGAAGTGGAACAGAATTCTTCCTCCGTAAGCCATGCGTGTTGTAAGAGGAGACTAAAATGCCAGGAGCAAGGGTCTAGTAACCCCTTCTCCTGTATATATTACTAAATTTAAAAGGAGAAGCTTTTGC